ATACTTGGTAATTATTTATTTCCATCTAAGTAAAATGTTTCTGCTTTTATTTTTTAACTCTTTCAGGGAGTTGGGCTTGATATCATACATTGAATTTTCACTGCACCATTTTATAAGCCCTACCCAGTGCACAGCCACAGATCACACTTCTTCCTTCCTAATACTTCTGGTATTGATCTAACATACCTTTTCAATATCAATAATATCAACATTCAGAGTTGGTATGAACCTGTGTCCTTAATACCTGAGTCCCATGCTCTGGTACTATGTTTCCGTTCTTATAAAATTTTGTTTATCATAGAGTTAATGACTGTATTGCATTTATATTAGATTTTTTATTACCTTTCACTAATTCATCCCCAGGCTTTCCTCCTAAGTATCAATTCCCTCTAAATACTGACCATTCTTAAGTGTCCCACCACCTCCATCTAATGGAGAAGGAGAGTTCTGAGAGAACAGAGAGTGGTCCGTTCTGGCTGCCGCCTGGCGTTTAACTGGCTCCATCCTAGGGTTTGTTTCCACCACCCTCCTAGGGACCCACTGCCTCTCTCTTGTGTGGGCCGCCTCCCTTCCCGTGTGATTAGATTTCTTATCCCTGGGTTCACTCACTCCCTCATTCATTCTGGTGGGTCTCACCTTCCAGTAGCATCATTAAAACAGAATATACAAAGTTCTATATATAAATTGCATTCTTAGACATCTAAGTACATGAGGTTAAAGTATAAAGTTATATGAAAACTCTCTCACTTTTGATAATCTGGACACACATACGTATATATACAGCCGCAAACTACAAGATCCCTGAGACCCCACGGTGTCACGTTCCTTCCCAGACATCAGTATTGCTGCTGGCATGTCGGTTGCCTTTCTGACTCCTGCCTAGTTCTTTTTATGTGACCTATTTTTGCTAGTCACCGTTTCTCACTCACTGTCCTGTGTACCTGTAGACATTTTTAAAATCAAAAAATGGTAATTGTACATAGTTAGGTGGTACCATGGTACCACATTTATATTATGGGATGATTAAATCAAGCTAACTAACCCATACATCACACCCACTATTTATCTTTTTGTTCTGGTACAAACATTTAATTCTCTCTTAGCAATTTTGAAACATGTGCTATAATATTATTAACTATAGTCACCATACTATTCAGTGGATCTCTAAAGTTATTCCTTTATTCTGTGACCAGCGTGTGCTCATTCATTCCTCTTTTCTCCTGCCCGGTCTCTGGTTACCACGTTCTCCTCTGTGTTCTGGGAGTGAGCTGATGGGGCAGTTGTCTCTGTCACATTCACATCACTCAGCATAGAGTCCTCCAGGTTCTTTGATGTTGTCACGAATGATTCCTACAGGCTTTTTAAAATATGAAATTGATATCTTTCTTCTTTGGAAGATTTTGTTATATTTTTTCTCTGAAAAATTTCTCATATTTTTCAGTGTTCTTTTTTTCTAGGATATTTGTAATTCAGATTTTCTCTCCTATTATACAGTGTTCCACTGAATCTTTCGTTTTTGCTATTGTATCATAATATTTAAGATCTATGTTTTGGTCGTCAAGTATTCCTTTCTGAAGACATTTGTTTATTTCAGATTTTTTATTTCTTTTAGGACATCAAAAGTTATTTTCTTTTTCCACATCATTTCTTTCGAGTTTTTTTCTTCTCTTTCTCTCCTCCCTCCCCACCCCACCTCCACCCGCTTCATCCTTTGTGTCTGGTGGTTTGGGCTATTCATTCATACATAAAAATGCTGCGTGACCAAGACTGCCTGAAGTTTGCTTTACATTTGAGACGTGTTAGCTGGTGGGCTTCACTATAGTGTGATATGGCTTATCCATTTCATTGAAAGACCCTCAGTTAATGGTATGTGTAGGGCTTTTCGTATAAAATGATCAGATTCCATACAGAGGAGCTGTTCTGTAAGTTGTATGTGTGTAGGTGTCTAGAGTGGTCTCACAGTTTCACATAGGGGCTTTTAAATAACCCTCTATTTGTACTATGGTTTCCTTCTCTCTTGATCATGTCTGTGGTACTCTGTTAAAAGCATGGTCCATGTTCTATAGAGAATAAACATCATGTCTTCATCTGAATTGGAAAAGGGGTAATTACTCTCTGTGCTTAAAAATCACTCTTCATCAGTCCTCCAGATTTCCACCCTGACCTTACCCTCCCTGTCAGAGCCCAGGCTCTACCGGGACCACTAAGCCTATAATTTCTAAAATGCTGTGTGCAAGTCAGTTTGCCTTCAAGCTCATACCATGAACTTAGACTTCATCTTCTGAGCTTGGCTGAGTTAGCTGCCATGTGTCCAACTGCTTTCTAGGTCCCAAATTATGTTCCATCTCAGCTGGAATATGGAGGCATGAGAAAGCTCTGTTAATTATCCTTGCCTTTGTGGGTTTAAACATTTGTATCATTTATTGTCCTTCTGGGGATTTCAGGATGGAAGAAAGGTCACCAGGGGACCTACAATGTGAAGTGCACTTCTCATACAATGTTGGTCTTTATGTGAGAGTTGCTGTTGAGGTCTTCAAAACTGAGCAAAACTCCTCAGCTCAGTTGCCACAATACATTTTATTTTCAGTTTAATAAGATAAGATAGTCTTAAATGGTGAATATTAAAGGCTACCAAGGCTAACGTTATCATGGTTATAATTTGGTTCTTCATATA